GGCTGGGGACGCCCAGGGCTGGGAAAACCTTGCAGGGGGGCCGCGCGGGCGTCTCCAGGCCCCTCCCGGGGGGCGGCACACTTGGGCTCCGAGGGATGACTCCTGAAATGTTCTCCGAGCAAATAAACACTTTTTAAACTAGGAAGGGTCTCCTAGACCACTCAGCGTGAGCAGCATCTTGGTCTCCACCTGGGGATCTTCCCCTCCTCCTCCTCCGAGGTTCTCGGCATTCCTGCCTGGTGTTTGCCTTGCAAAAGGCTAAGATCTCCCAGCTGTATCTACCTCTCCGCCCAGGTGCAGGCGCTGGGGAGCGTTGGGGGCAAAATTCGCCGCCGCGCCTGGCGAGACTCGTAGTAACCCAAAATGGCGCACACTTACCAGGCCCTGGAATGCTGCTCCAGATCTGCAGGATGAGTGGGTGGGCAGAGGCGGGGACAGCACGGCAGGTGAACAGAAGCCGTGGGGCTGGAGGGAACAGAGCTATTTGCGGGGATTGAGATGGCCTGGGGGTCTTGCTGTTGATGGATAGCAAGAGCCTGGCAGGAGGCTGTGAGGGCCTGGCCAGAGTCCTTAGAGACGTGGTTTGCTTTGGGGGCAGTCACTCTGGCAGCTGCATGGAGAACTGATGGGGGATCTTGGGTACATTCGTTTATGTAAAGTGGTGAGAGAAGGGCGCTCTGGAGATGGGCTGGGGAAGCCTGGGGAGGAGCAGGTTCTGGGAGGCACAGGCCTGGCCTCTCAGGGCATTACTGGTGGCTGGATTTCACTTGCAGTGGTTCCTTCTTGTATTATCCTGTTCCAATAACTCTTAGCAACAGTACATTTATACTTGCGCTAAGGAATGCACCATTGCCCTTGGAGGGGGAAGAATCACCACCCTGGTGCTGCAGCCACAGCTGTCTCTTTTGTGGTGGAAGCTGCAAGCACACAGCATTGCTGAGTGACCAACGTTTCCTCCTAGGAAAGGGAACAGTCTGTGGCTGAGAGGCTGCTGCCACCTGCCGTAAGCTCAGAGAAGGGGAGACAGCCGACAGCGAGGTCATCCACTGGTTCTTCCAACACAGGCTGGGAGGGCACTCAGGGCCAGCATGCCTACCACCTGCGCGGGGGCCCCAAGTGTTCTGAGGGTGAGGGGTCTGGGTAAGATGGTGGGGGAGGGCACACATTCTCTTGACTTGATTAGCCCCTCTTCTTGAACCCTAGGAGATACACCCCATTGGGTGGCCTGGCCTCCCTACTTTCTTCATTTAACAGACATTTGTGTCCCTATGTGCAAGACAGTGTTAGATCAACAAGCCCTGCCCTTCAATTGGTGAATCTAGGGGTGACCTCTAAAACTCTCAATAACATGAGCGCCACAATACAGGAGCCATGCAGAACAAGGGACACTTGCCTCAGCTGCAGTGCAAGTAAGGAGACAAAGGACTCTGGACAAAATACAGCCCAGGCAGTCCTGAGGGCTGGGTGGAGAGAAGTGCACAAGGGAAATGCAGGCCCAAGCACAGGCCTGGCAGCCAGAGGCCGTGCCATGTGAGAGCAGCACAGCTAGTGGGAAGGGTGGATGCCAGCACAGCCCTGGGACAGGGCCACCGTGCATCCTGCACTAGGTGATAGCCAGTCACAGTAGGGGAGAAGAACCTGCAGCTTTCTGCAGCCATCACTCGCACTCCATACCCAGGGACTCTCTGGCTTGAGCCACCCTTTCTACTGTAGCTTGTGGACTTCGGCTGCATGTTTTTGGTTGGCAACTGGGACGCCTCTTTCATCAGGCTCAGCAGGAGTCTGTCTTCCCAACGTTTTCTCTTTGAAGCTTGACTGCAAGGAGGCAGGGCCAGAGGCCCCTGTCACCGCCATTTTCTCAACACTCCCTAAAGGATACATTTTCCTAAGAAGACAAAGCCTATTTCTCAAGTTCACATGCTTTAGAAATTCATGGTTCTCTGGAGAATGCTGAAGTGAGGCACACACCTAGAGGCAGGTTCTCTCCTAATGATTTTCCTGTCTGTACCTTGGGTCTAAGTAAGAGATTCCTTAGCAACTACTATGGGCTTCCTTTTTTCAAAAGTTGTAGTCCAATGTATCTGTATTTCTAATTTGTCATAGGTAGCATGGAAAATCATTCCTCTCCCAGGGTACCTCAATCTAGAGGGACATTAGGTTAAACAACGGAAGAGATTAGAAAATGGCCAAATGCTTTACTGCATACACAGTAGGGCTAAAGATAACAATCAAAGCCTGGTCAACACTGCTAAAAATTCACTATTAACATAAGACTCCTGCTTCCAGCCAAGATGAAGTTACAGGGACTGGACTTACCTTCCCATCTTAAACTAAAAAACTGGATAAAATGTATGAAACAATGGTTGTCACAGTGGACCACAAGAAGTGCAGGGACCCCTGATAGCAGGGTAACAAATAGAGTGTGAGAACTGCTCACTGCCTGGAGTTTGCAGACCACAGAGAGAGAAAGGAAACCCAAAGAGAGTTTGGGGAAGCCAGGCAGTTAACGCTGGCAGGGCGTAGTACCAGAGAGGAAAGAGCTGCGCAAAGAATGCACGTGAGAGATCACAGAGGGTCCCACTTGAGTCTCAGCCCACACATCTAAGGACGCTACCCAAGGGAAAACAGCCTAAGAGCTCACACCTGACTGGGAATAGTTCCAGTTCCCACCAACCATAGTGGAAAAATCTTGAAATACACAGAACATCAGAGCATAATTAGAAGGGTAAGGCCCTCTCTGTAGTCAGTAAAAATTACAAAGGCTATTCTGGTGCTGCCTAACAAAACTTAAAAGCAAGAAATAACAGGATCAAATGATTTCCAAATGATGTAGCTATTACATTCCAGAACTTAAAAACAATCAAAGGACAAAGCATCAGAGAGCCATGAGGCAACTCCAAGTGGCAACTCCAAGGTGTAACTGGAGCCCCAGAGGAAGGTGGGTGGGAAATATCTGAAAAACCACCATGTGGAACAGTTTCTATGAACCCATGAGCCAAGAACATCCCCAAACTCCAAGCACAAGAATCATGAAGAAAAGTACGTGAAAGCACACCACGATCAAATTGCCTAAAGCCAGTAATAAAGAGAAAACCTTAAAAGCAGCCAGAGAAAGAAGACATTATGTATAGCAGGGGCCCCCAACCCCACAGGAATACCAGATCATGGCCTGTTAGGAACCTGGCCTCACAGCAGGAGGTGAGCAGCAGGTGAGCTAGTGAAGCTGAGGTCTGCATACTGTTAGATCAGCAGCAGCATGAGATTCTCATAGGAGTGTGAACCCTATCGTGAACTGCTCATGCAAGGGATCTAGGTTGCACTCCTTATGAGAATGATGATCTGAGGTGGAACTGTTTCATCCCTAAACCATCCTCCTCTCACCCCATGGAAAAATTGTCTTCCACAAAACCAGTCCCTGGTGCCAAAAAAGGTTGGGGACTGCGGATGTACGGAACACAGGTAAGGGTGACAGAAGAGTTCTCATGGGATATAATGCAATCAGAAAACAATGGAACATTTTTAAGTACTGGAAGGAAAAAAGCATCAAATATTCCACAGATAGTTTTTCAATAACTTGCTGATATGAAGGGCAAGACTCCACTGGTGTCCTCATTATCAGGCCTACAATTTAAAGGCTGAACTTCAGTCATTATCAATAATGAATCAGTGGTTCTGAAGATAACATGTTTATAATCAATAACAACTTAGTTCTGTGAGTTTTTTAAATTGTGCAATTGCTAGATAAACACTAACAAAAACAGCAGCATCTCAGGGAACTCCGGTTCATCAACTATCAGTTTTTCAAGTCCTGCAGGAAGTCTCACTGTTAAAACCAAAACACTTGCAAGTAGCTGAGAACAGCAGTTGCGTATCTCCCTATTCCCCCAAGAAACAAAACTAACAAAAAAGAAGTGAAAAATAAATTCTATATAAAACTGTCCTCAGCATTACGTGGAGAATTCTCCAACTGCAAAGGAACTGAGTAATAAGGAAAATCCCACTGAAGCCCAGTACACAACTTGCACTCCTATACTACCCTCAGCCAGCCGCATGCTTAGTGTGAGCAAAGGCAGACTGAGAAAAATCGTGGAGCCAAGAGGGAGGGCGATGAACCAGGCCTAAGGGTGATATGAAACAGTCTCCAGAAAGACGAACTCTTAACACTCTAGACATGAAAATTGAAAAGCACCCCAATACCATAGAGACAAACAAGAAAGTCCATCCAGAGCTACTGCAGAAAACCGGGACATGAAATGTCACACATACAGACTGAAGGAACCCCCAACCTCTAGGAGACTATATTACAAATGTGTAACATAGCCACCCTGAGTGGATCAGGAATAAAAGACATAACCTAAGCACATTTAGACAGAAGAGCAAAAGACAAAAGAACTGTACACAAATGATATACTCCAGTTAGTAAATCTGTTTCTCACAGGGCCATGGTTTAGCAATGATTTTATGTGTATAGTAGGATTGATCAAATAAATAAATAAACAGTGAATAACGTGAGCCAGTTTTCTCACTATTGGTCTAAGGTAGAAATAAGGGACAGAAATTCAAAGTATCAGTATGAACACACACATATATAAGGTGCTGATGACTAGCTGTAAAAATACAGGGACAAATATAGGTGTGTCTATTTGCTTGGATTAACACACACACACATATTTCCCAGCTATATCTACTGAGCGCCTAAGACCAACTCCAACAGCAACAAGCAAACCTACTGACCAGGTCTTCGTTTCTAAATACTATTCTCCAATAAAAGGAAACAGCTTGTTGAAGTGGTGGAGTCCAGTGCTGGGGCAGGGAATGTACAAGATGAGCCAAAAATATCCTGAGATGCCAGAAAATAAGAACTTAAAAAAGAATGGCTTTTTCAAAAGGACACAGACCCCAACCTGAAGAAGCTCCTAATGGCTAATGCTGGAAAAATGTGAGCAACAAAGTAAGAAAAGAATAGTATTGTAATGCACAGAACAAAATAAACATCAAGTGCATACTGATATAAAACACTGAATAAACAGAGAAAGTGTGGCTCCTCCTTACAGAAAAATTCCAAGTAATAAATATAGAAGGGATGAGAGACATACAAAATCATCATTAAGGAAACACCACAAGAGTAACTGTTTCAGCCAAGATCTGATGAATACTAGAACCAGTGAGCAGATGTTTCAGGAGCAGCATATTTGTATACTCTCAAAGAGCTCCCTCAATTACAAAGGAAAACCATTAACCTCATAGTGCAGGAACCCAGCAGAAGTCACCTTAACAAAGTGATCAAGGATAACATCACCTGTAAAAGATACTATCCCCAGGTATGATGTACTAAGAAAGAGATGTTATTTCCGTGGTACTCATAAAAACGTATAGCTCAATCTTATCATGAGAAAACATCAGATAAATCCAAATGAAGAGGTAATCTACAAAATAATCAATTAATACTCATCAAATGTCAAGATAAAACAATTCACTACCACAACAATAGTCATGAAACTCAAGAAAACACTGAGGAACTGTCACAGATGAAGGATGGAGGATGAAGAAAACACAACAACTAAATGCAAGTGGGCTACTGGATTGGATCCTAAAACAGAAAAAGAATATTAGGAAGAAAATTGGTAAAAATGAGTAAGATTTGTGGTTAATAGTATTGCACCAATGTTAATTTCCTAGTTTTGATAATTTTACTATGGTTACAGGAGTTGTTAACATTAGGGGAAG